TCCAAATGCGTTGTACGATAACTTCCTTTTACGAAATTGCTACCAAGAGTCGGACGCCTTTTAATCAATCGTATCTTGACGAGAAATTGCTTCCTTATAAAATCATTTCATGTTTATCTCGGACTTTTATAGCTACTCTAGGGTAGAGCTGAATTAATACAAAAGGCGAGACCTAGGTAACTGAGGAGTTTCTCAAGGTTCTGAAACAGCGCGTTTGTGTTTTTGTGTGTGTTCATTTTAAGAACTTATAAGGTATATGGACGTTTATTTAGTTTCCATATCTTGACTTTCAATTTCTTCTTGCAGGATTTAAAAATATATTACGATTGTTTTCAGAACTATGAAAGTGGGACAATTATATTGAATTGAACCACTAATGTGTTCGACACATTTTATCTCTAATTTTAAAGCTACCTTAGGGACAATGCATAGGCGATTAAAGATACACTGGGAGGCTTAGGTACTTGAGAAGCTACTAAGGTCATAAAATAATGCGTGCGCGTGTGTGTATGTGTGTGTATGTGCGTGTTCATTTGTAGAATCTATAATATACTATTAAGCATGTACATAATACATCGTCATTCACCACCATCAAAGATTAGGTACGTGTCATTATGTGTAGGTCAATAAAAATAATTGATTTGGTGAATGTCATTATGCGTAGGCGATAAGAAAACTCTAGTGGCAAGCAAGAACGTTTGTCAAAGGTTTTTCATCTACCGACCTAAACAAATGTTTTCCTGTCTATTTATCTATAAGTTCGTCTGCCAACTCGTTAGTCTGTCTGTATGTATCGATGCATCGACAGATCTTAGAGGTTCAGAGGTCTCATCCTTTTCGCGATGAAGAGACGTTTATGTGAAAAAGGTTTGAAATTAAACCCATTTTAAGATTAATCAATAAATAAATAAATTAAATGAAAACTTTTTATTCTTTGGAATTTGAGCAGTATGGTGTGGATTTCTGTGTATCTTCTGCGACTGCGCACTGTGAGCAACGATGCATCGATGCGGAAATGGAAGTGAAACCCGTATGTGAATGATAAAGCAGGTAAGTTGATAAGTAAGTAGCGACTTGAATTGACATGTAAAAGTCTATACATGTAGATCCTTGAATAAATCTTTTCAGGGTTTTCCCCATTTGATTTATTCATAATAAGCCAAAGTTGACCCTTAATTTTGTTATTTATTTGCTTCTGTTTACATGATTGGAATGTTTCTGATAGGTCATGTATACATCTACAACTTCTATTGCGGTTCGTACATGCCGATATTATTTTGCTTGGAGTTAATAAAATCAGGAAAACTATATATCCAAATAACAAGCTCGACCCTTAGTGTCACAGTTTAGCAAGGGTGCATAAATACCAGTAATTTCAGTTTCTGATCTGCATTTTTGTATAACAGAAACTGAACATAATCACTACAGTTTGTTTAGACGAAGTTTATTTTAATCTCCAAAGGCATCGTGCAATAACTTTCCGTTCCCATAAAAACCTACCTGTACGCTTGCCGTAAAGTTCTTTAAAATTTCATTCTTTTATCTTACAATCATTTATGCATCTATAATAGCACGACAATTATAGTGGAATGAATCATCATATGTGTGACACGTTTTACCTCGAACGAATTGGTTGAGTAACTCAATGGATAAGGTGGACGTAAAGGAAGATAAACAGCGAGACTAGAGTGCTTGTAAAGCTCGTCAAGGTCATGAATGAGTATGCGTGTGTTCATTTGAAAAACTTGTTCGGTACTATTATAAAAATAAATGGTATATTTTTTGTTTATAACCATCAATCAACAAGTATAAATATGTTGGTATCTGAGGAGATGAAAACTGTACTAGGTCATCTAGCTAGCTACCAATTCATCTGACTACCTGTATGCTTGTATGCATGTGTGTATGTGTGTGTATGTATGTGTGTATGTATGTATGTATGTATGTATGTATGTATGTATGTATGTATGTATGTATGTATGTATGTATGTATGTATGTATGTATGTATGTATGTATGTATGTATGTATGTATGTATGTATGTATGTATGTATGTATGTATGTATGTATGTATGTATGTATGTATGTATGTATGTATGTATGTATGTATGTATGTATGTAGATCCATGGATCGTAGAAGTAAAGAGGTATGCATGACATCTTATCGGTTCAAGAAGCATTCCGTATAAAGAATTAATGTTTTAAAAAAATACATAATATATAAAAAACATTCCTGGATAAAAAAGGTTAGCGATTGTCTCAGTAATAAAGAACAAAAAGTCCAGTAAAATATTCGTTCAGACGAATAAATACATTTAAATTATGTATATATTCTTCAAATTACATGAATTGTTAGTTTTCCTGCCCAAATAGATAGGTACCATCTGTTTTTTTTGGTCTCACTCGTATAATAAAAAATGTTAGTTCCATGATACATACAATACAAAGCACCTGGTTCGATATTGAATTTCATTCTGCGGAATGAAACAAAGGGTTTTATATCTTGGAGTAAAAGCCGTTCAAAACACCATATGATCTTCATTTCCTCAATAAATTTAAAAAAAAAACTACAATTCGTCAACGACAATTTTATTTACTGCATTTGTATTGGATATATTAAATCTTTTAGTACTAAAAAGGTAAAATAATCACAATTGGCAAAGGCTCAAGTTGAAAGGTATCGATTTTGGTACCAAAATATAAAAAATTTTCGGAATTGTCGTAGGAAACAAAAATTTGCTTTTTGTTATATACCAAAATTATTGCAGAATCGAAATTTATAAGATTAAACTCACTGTTTGGTTCGACACGCTTTTCCCTCCCTAACTACCTTTTCGAACATTCACCTCACTTTCATATGCTCATCATATAAATTTACGTAACTAAAGAATGCGGTGCGACTGGATTGTAATAAATTACATTTTATGTCTTTTTGTAAACAGTCTGAAGTAACCTGAAAATAATGCAAGTCCGATTCAGCAATGCATCACAGCTAGTTTATCGATGTTGTCAAGGAAGTAAGATTACATACTTCAAAGAGATGCGAACGGCGCCGGTCAAGTTTCTTGATATGAATGAAAAATTACAAAATTTTTTTTCTCTAATAAATCTTTGTATTTCACACTGGTAAAAAATAGAGAACAGAGAGGAACTGTTCTATATATAATTATATTTTTATAAAGGATATACAATATATAAATGCAAAAAAATAGTTTGTTCAATTTTATATAGTGCCTTTCTATTAAGGCCATTAGGATACCAAGTATCTAACTTATGAATCCAGATAGTTTCATTTATGAGACTATTAATTTCTCCATGCACAATATCTATTAGCATGAAATAAAAATCTAATAGAAAGTGATTTTTGGCATTAAAATATTTTGAAATATTAGAGAAGAACTGAGGATCTCTATAATTTTTTATGAAAGCGGTGATTATTCATTCTCTTAGAAACTTTTTGAAGTGTTTGTCCCACATATTACATTATTGGTGCTTCTAAAAGAAGTATTTTCTATTATATTTTGGATTTTGTATCTTTAATAAAAAGAAGTATTTTCTTTACGTTATAACTTTAACTACGTATCAACTGATCTGATTTATTTGATAACCTGTAAAAAATGTACCATGTAATATGTGATACAAGTCCGACTCAAAAAGAGATTTGTATACGTCTTCAGTACAATCTAATGTTCAAAAATTAAATACTGCAAATATTTGGTCACAAATACATTGCAGCAAATATGTGCATTTCTGCATCCAGTAATCTTTTTTTCAGAAAAATATAGCAATAATGTGATGTTTAGCTGTGATGTAGAATTTCAACATAAACACTGGCACTGTTGTGTAGGCCAACTCTAACCGGTGCTGTGCACCGTATCGAACAATGTGACATCACACGTATTGGACATTTTGTGCTGACAAATGTTTTGTCTTTTGTATAATGTTCTGTTTATTGGGATGTACACTTATTCTTTGATTTATTGTTAGTAAAAATGTATAATATACTTTTACTATTTCAACTTTGTGACAATTTTTACGCACAACAAATGAACGGTAGCGTCTATTAGAATAAACAAAATGATTCATTCTTCTTTCTATCTAAACAAATTCTACTGAAATACAAATACATGATAAAACGAGTCTCAGATGGATAATGAGTTAATAAAGGCTAGAAAAAGTTGAACATTATTCAACTTGTTTCATAAATTAAATATTAAATCGTTACGCATTTGAGATCCTTGCATTTCATATTCTTCTAACGTCTTCCTGTGTTCCTTTGTATACTTTTATCTTGTTCTGAAGCATGGACATTATTTAATGTATTGGCGCCTTATTTCCATTCTTTTCCTTTGAGATATTTTTATGGATCAGTAATTCTTCAACATATTTTTTAATTTTCATTGAAGTTTGTCCTATTCGTCTATGTTTTTGCATATTGATCCTCATCTTAAATTGAGTTATTATTTTCCAAAGCCTTTGCTCACTTTTCCCCTATTTTCCAAACTTATTGTTGCGCTGATCGCATTAAGGTTTAAAACATTTGTTTGTAGAAGTTTGCACGATTTTGCCGAATTTATTCAAGATTCAGTTTCATAGAATTTATCTAAGAGGCTATCTGTGTTATCTGAATATGTGTATGTAAATTCTACCTTATTCCTACTTAATTCCATGTATATATACCATAACCTATTCTTTTCCTTAAACGTTTTGACTCGACTTTGAAAGGTCTTGTTCCATACACCAAAACCCCACACTTCTATATATTTCTTCATCTATCCAATACCCCCACTTCCCAATTGGTTTTTACCAAGGTTGCCACCATCATTCTTTACTGGCACCATTAGTTGTTGTAACCATCTTTACATTTTGGAACATATTTTTTCTTTTGAGTGAATTTCTTAAAGTAATATTATATCATATTCTTTTGCTAGATTGTTTGCTTTACCTACTTTTGTTTTTACCCTATTCAATAAAATGACGAGGAGGTTTTAAACCGCTCCGGTGGCCTAGTGGTTAGAGCGTCCGCCTCGGATGCGGGAGGTCGTGGGTTCGATCCAAAGACTTACAAAAATGGTTCTAACAGCTGCCTCGCTTGACGCACAGCATTAAGAGGTTAGTGTTAGGACTGGTTGGCCTGGTGTCAGGATAATGTGACTGGATGTGACATCATGCTACATGTCTGCGACATGATGCCCCAGTGCTAGACATCACTATAAATTGCCACACTGCAGACATCGTAGCGTTATGACTAGAAAATTGTTAAAGCTACGTTAAAAGGCATAATCAAATCACATCACATCATGATGAGGTTTGATTCCTCCACGAAGTTTTATCCCACCTTGAGGATTAATTCCTCCATGATGTCACTGAAAATGGTTGTGTTAAGTCTAAATTTTTATATACAATTGTATACGTCTTAGTCTTGTTGTTTTGTTGTTCAGTATTCTTATTATTAGGATATTCTACTACGGCCATTTTGTATTAGCTTTGATTAAAATTCTCGTCAGAAATGATCCCGTCACTTTGAGGGAAAATTTCTGTTATCTGAGCATCTCTTCTATTTATTTCTTCTCTATATAGATTTTCAGTTGATGTGGTGTTTCGTCTCTTTCTTTTCTGCTACGGCTTTGGCGTCGATGTCGATGTGGATGTATCACCTTGTGAATGTTCCTTCCCTAAGTATATGTACACATTTTGTTCTTGTGTTTAAAACATTTGGGTTACCTCAACTGGGGACCCCCTTTCTCATGCCTTGCCTAAAGATTTTACTGAAATGTCAGCTCTTTTAGTATATAGTAAGGATCCGTATCCTTCTCAACTAATACTTGCGGAATTTTCTTGTCTTTAAGCTTTTTGTTTCTTTTCATTTATCGTTCGCCCCCTTTGAATTTCAAAATGGTGCTTCATGTTTGTTCGCAAAGTCTTCCAATTCGAGTCTTATATTTTCCTTTTCTTGAGGTTCCATCTGATGGGTGTCTATTTCTATTTACTTTTCCAGGCATGGGTCTGGAATTGCTTCCATTTTCTATTCCGTCACTGTTTCAGTTGCTCCAATAACACGGGTCTTATTTGGGGATTTTACGCAATGGGTCTTTGTGTAGGCGATGTCATGCACACGTCTCTAATGCAATGATTTGACTATAATGCTTATTATGTAAAAAAAAGGTAAAGAGCTTTCTCTCGTCCTCTACCTTTATTGACATAATCCAATGCACCGTTGTTATTGTATTGTATCCCTAATATGTAGCCAATTGATCCATTATTACTGCCACCCGTAACTCTTTTTCTATTTATTCGATATATGCATGGGAAAAATGGACACGTCTATCATTTTGCTTTCCACTTTTCTTTCTATTGAGAGTGGCATGCGTATTGATATCATATTTCCTTTTACATCTGAGCTTTTCCCAAGCGTATATCCTTTTGCATCATCCTTAAGCGCAAGGGCTTTGGGTATCTCCTCTGGCCTTTCTGTTTCGGATCTATTTCAAACATCTAGTTGAGTACTAAGTGAATACTGCCATAGTTGTGAAGGAAAGAAAGAGATTCTTATTCTGCGTGCATCCGTTTGTTCCTAATATTTCAGTACTTCCCCTTCTTCCTTTAGAATATCTAGACATTGACTTCTTGTATGTAACCTTGTGATAATATTGATTTAGACGTTATTAGTAATTTTAAATATTTATGACTTACTGTTCACTTAAAAAATGCATTATATAGCAGAACATTCACTTACGGGAAAAGGAATAACCTGTATGAATTTATTACTTTTCGATACAAAACCACATACTTTTTTACAGAAAATATTTGATGCCTATGTTAGTTATACAATACACTTTGCACCAGATTCGATGTCTTTATTTCCTCCGTTTTACAAAGAGTACAATATGTCATAAAAATACACAAAACGTCAACAACCAAAACATTAGCAGGAGTTTGATAAAAGAAATATCAAATATCGAGAAAAAAAATCTTGTTAGCAAAAACGAATGAATACTGCATATCAAGCATGGAAATAAGCGAGAAAAGATATACCGTTAGGTAAGTATGAATGGTCTCTGTATTTTTCTATACCTCAGAGATGTAAAATGGACTGGAGGAAAGAAGTAACAATTCTGTCATCAATACGCACAGAATGTATATTTTAAGTAAATAAAAGGAGTAGCAACACACCTTATATATCTTCATGGTACACAGTCAAACGTTTCGGATATATCTTTCCCACATGGAAACAACAGTTGAGATGCTAAAAAGACATATATATATATATATATATATATATATATATATATATATATATATATATATATATATATATATATATATATATATATATAATGTGATAAGTACTCATAAGAACTTGTAAATCACGAATCATTATCATTCCCAATAGAGTATGGATACAATCAATATGTCAGTAACGCTAAATACGTTTAAACATGTACACCAGTATTACAATCAGATGGCATCAAAACTTATCCGGACTAAGATAACTACACTCAGTTATGAAACGATCATCTACAAATATACAGCTCTTCTTCATATAGTCACAGTATTGGCAACAACCTGACATGATTGAATACAGCCTGGAAATTTTCTAGCTACTTCCTGACGGTATCAAACTCCCATCAATGAATAGCTTCTGAAATGTATTAAGTGATGTGTTTTATAGTAGTCAAAATCACAAACAATTTTCCAATGACGTATGGATTTTATATTTAGCATACACGTCCAGTGATGATTTAGATGGGGTTCGACATTGAAGTAAAAACGATTCTACCAGTTTTGTTAGATTAAATTTTCCGAGTAGTCTATTAATGCCAGGAATAAAAGTCAGTTTGTTTTATTTGAACTGTTGCGTTTTGATTGTTGAAAATGGAACATTCTGAGCAAATATACTTGCTTTACACAATAGGCTGACGATAATATACAAACTTGCTCCGGAAAGAAACAATTGTGTAGTCCTCAATGGGTAAAGAACTGAGTAAACTCAGCACAAATATAGTTCGTGAATATCTGGCTATACTGTGCATGTCCTTTAAGAAAAATCGATGGCTTCTCTCTACCATAAGAGTTTTCTGTGGGCTGGGGCTACGCCAGGCTTAATAACCATACAATGAACTGGGTAATACATTAGCTTCATGCCAAGCCTTCGCTGCGACTGGATAAAACATATTCATTAGATCCAATATAAAAATAGAGAACTTCCAAGTTTATCTTCAGACTTTTCTATCCTGTGTTGTCTATTTTGTCATGCATAGACCTTTTAATACTTAAATGTATACCCGATCATATAAAGTTATACATAGACCCTTTAATACCTAAATGTCTACCCAATCTTATTTCGTCATACATAGACCCTTTAATACCTAAATGTCTATCCAATCATATTTCGTCATACATAGACCCTTTAACACCTAAATGTCTACCCAATCATATTTCCTTCACAGTCTGAGATACCACGAACCAATACCAATGTCTTCTTTGTTAGTCACTAAAATTTCAATAAAAACAATCGTATCCGTTTCGGAATGACCATTTTACAGATGATTCACGATTTAGCTTCAGTAAGTGTAACCTGCCAAAATTTGAAAAACTCTGCAGAAACATATCATATGCTACAGGGTGACAAGGTGTGCGGAATGTCTGGTAATTTTTTGCAAATTGTTCACAAAGACATTGGCAACATTATATCAACATAATTTAATTGGAACAAAGCGTTTTGAAAGTCGATTTACAAAGTTTCTATAAATAATGCAAATTAATTTTGAAATTTAATAAGATAACAAAAGAGATGAAGTTTAAGACATTGGTACAAGTTTCAGCCGATACTGAGCGATAATTGTGTTTCTTATCCTGTAAAACACGATCACAGAATACGCAGCCACGCTTGTAACAATAAATATTATAACAATTGTGGTTAAAGGCACAAACAACAGCAGCAACAACAACAACCTTTTCCGCGCACCTGTAATTAAAAAATGATCTCTGTTCTCTCTTTACTTATACTGCTTATTAAAATTTAATGTTTTGGAATGGTATCAAACCAGCACATAATGAAGACAGAGCATTTTAATTTGAATGGAAAAATAATCCAGTAAGATAAGTTGATACCTTGTAATAGTTTTAATGTTTGTTTTCGTTTGAAATAAATCTAATCAGTGATGTCACTGTGATAAGTACAGCATAGGAAAATGATTTTTGAAATTTTAGCAGCTGTTGTATTGAAAAGGATTTTATATTGCATCATTTAAAACAAATCTGACATAAACTGTTTCCAGTTATCTCCGTACATGTTCTGTTTGTAGCAGATGGCTTTAGTATCTGGTCGTACTCTTCTGTTTCAGTGAAAGTTGAGTTAATCTTATTTATTTTTGCTGTATTGTATCCACTCCTTTGCTAATTCAATAACTCCTAATACGGCTGAGGGCAATGATTTGAATCATTCAGTTCAAACCTTTCGGTAGCACGATGAGATGGTAACATGTGCACAAAATTAAAAACATTGACGATACTGTAAATGATTCATTCTAGTGGCTTTTCAGTGCAAAGTCCATAACGTTTTGAAGCTGTTTCACCAAGTGAAGGTGATAACTTTTCAGTTGATACAAACTCAGTACATAGACCAGACTAGACTAGATATGACTGTTTCTTCCATTAGCCCAACTGGACTGATAAGATACAAACTCGGTACATAGACGAAACTAGACTAGATATGACTGTTTCTTCCATTATCCCAACTGGACTGATAGGATATAAACTCGGTACATAGACCAGACTAGACTAGATATGACCGTTTCTTCCATTAGCCCAACTGGACTGATAGGATACAAACTCGGTACATAGACCAGACTAGACTAGATATGACTGTTTCTTCCATTAGCCCAACTAGACTGAGAGGATACAAATTCAGTACATAGACCAGACTAGACTAGATATGACTGTTTCTTCCATTTGCCCAATTGGACTGATAGGATACAAATTCGGTACATAGACGAGACTGGAACAGACAAGATACTTTATTTACTTCCATTACACTAGTTGAACTAAGATGAAGGTGATAACTT